AAATGATATTCTTTATGGAGGAAAAAAGGTCGGATTCGCCCGTCGTGATACGACGGAGATTAGTTTATTCCAAAGACTCCGTGGTCCGCTCTCGTCATAATACGCGGCAGGGATATTTATGTAATACGCGACATGCAAATGAATACATTGTTTGCGCGCTTGTCAGAGATAAGGTAGGTACAATGCTACGCGCGGTTTCGTATACAATTTTCTGCGCTGTATTATGTCTTTGAGAGCTCGTCGCGTATTAAACTAAAATGCATAAATATTTTATCAACGAGCAATCCGCGATAGTTTACCATAATTCACAAATTTATATTTACAACGAGCTGAATAGATTCGAGGCTGGAATATGTAGATTCCGAATAACGAAAAGAAATTTTCCAAAAAATGTTTCCATTCTAAAAATCACGTCTTTACAGCGAGCTAAGTAAATTCGAGGCCGAGGATATAACGAGAAGAAATTTTCCAAAAAATAGTTTTCATTTGAAAAATCACGGATTATTAATTGGTACAGCTGCGAGAAGCATGAATCGAAGCTTCAGTCCCGAAAGGAAATTCGGAAAAAGTGCGTAAAGATAAATTAGGAAGGGATCTTCTACCCGCATCCTCTCTATCAACGCCATCTGAAACAAATCAGCCTGGCTATCAGTGATGCATCTCGTGCAACAGGTGAGAAAGAGAGAGAGAGTGTGTGTACACGCGTGAAATTCGCCACCATCCTTTCGCGGCAGTCTTTCCACTTTCGCGCACCGATGCATCTGAGTCACGTTCACACTAAGTTGCAACTTCGACGAGGCTTCAAGGCGGGTTGCTGCGGTGCCCGTTGCCAGCCAGGAGGAGATCGGGTACCGTTAGCCACCTCGACATAGATCCATCGCCGTGAACCTGAAATTCGAAATGGCCCCATGAATATTCATTCATTTTGGCCATCCTCGCGCCGTTCGTCGTTTCACCGAGAAGAGTTACTGTTAATCAGCTATCAATAATCATTCGCGATCGCTCCTTCTTGTGTATACTTTCTTTCCAGTGGAAAAAGTAGAAAAAGGATCCTTCTGCCTTTTGCAATATTATTTTCTCGTACACCGGTGAAAAGGTCGGACGAGGTAACATTAACCTCTTGGTAGAACACAAGCTGTATTGATAAATGAAAATAATTCGAATTATTGGCTTGTTCGACTAGGGAGAGATGTTAGGTAAGACGAAAATTCGAAAAAATTTGAAACTTTACGGAAGTCTAGTTCAAGGGGGATGGTAATTATGAAACCATTTTTTGTTTCGGTAATGAAATAGTATTAGGGATGAAAACGCCCCTTCAAAAGAATTGCAAGTTAGTGTTGTAGCGTTTCGTATTATCGTACGTGGTTTTTGGTGACCTACATTGTGGCGGTAGAGAATTTTTGACAAAACATTTCTTCGAAATTTACCCACACCACTTTCAATGTTTTGAAAAGAATGTTTTCTGAAAATTCTTTATCAGCAAAATGCAGGACATCAAAAACCGTACAATTTTAAATTTAACTTTTTTCCCGTCTCTTACGGTTTCGTAAATATTTACGATAATATGAAAACTTACAATTTACCCCCAGCACTCTTACTTTTTCGATAAAAATAATTCTTTACTTTTTTCTCATATCTTGTACGGTTTTGTAAATATTCACGATAATACGACAGCCCTCAATTTTTCTGACGTGTTTTCACCCCCGAAAACCATTTAATTCCCGAAATAAAAAATGGTTTGCTAATTAACTTCGCTTAATCTACATTTCTGCAAAGTTTCAAATTTTTTTCAATTTTCATTTTACCGAACTTCCCTTGCAAGTTCTATTTGCACGCGCCACGTTTACTGAAACACTCTGTATAACACAAGAAAGGAAAATTCGACTTTCCGCTTTTCAGTTTTTCTTCTCGTGTCCCTCGTCACTGTCTCTCGTCCCATTCTCTAACCTTTCTTTGTTTTCTTTTTCCATGAAAATCTCCTGGAGGATTTCGAGGATCGACCTTTTTTTTTTCTCTCTCCTTCGTCCTGAGCGCAGAGATCGGTCTAATCGATGCGTCAACTATTCCCGTTCGAGGGCAACACTGTGTCGTGTTGCTCGTCTAACTACGGCGGCACGTTTTGCCGGTGGCGCGCGTACCACGCAGAAAAAGCGATTACGAGAGTTACAAAAATCCAAAAAGCGGTTAGCATGCACACACAAACACACACACGCACATACATATAGCGTGTTCCATAAGTTTCGCAGCTGGAGGAGAGTAGCGACGATGATGGGGGGGGGGGGGGGGGGGGCAGCCAGGCCCGATTCCACGCGATCATTGATCGTTAACTTTTTTCCCGGGCTGTCGATGATCAAAGCTGTACGACGCGGTGGCCGCACGTAAATCGACTTTAAATCGCAATAAACCGTGCAAAAACGGCGCGGCGGATTTGCCTTGGCGCGCGTTCACTTTCGACCGCAAAAAAACTTAGGAAAAACCCCCTTTAGGTCTACCCTGCGCATTGTCCCACTTCAACATTCTTGCAAATCTTCCATGTTTCGTGTCGCTACCTTCGGACTTTATCTCTACACATATTTTTTCCTCTTTTTTTTTTTCTCCCTCATCTCGCTTCTTCTTCCTCCTCCCCACTTGGCGAATATTATTATCTCTACGGCGCATCGCGGCGCGATGCATGTCTAATGTGCAGTTGCAACTTTGTACACCGATGATTCGCGTGTGTCACCGTGATGTTGCTGAATTAGCATTCACGGCGGAAACCTTGACAGCAAGGGCGACAACGGATAATTGAAAGGACCCAGCGGATATTAAGCTGTTTTTGTTTCGGCGCGGAGTAATTAAGCGAGAAATCGTTTCGCTTTGTCTGCGAGGACGAGTGGAACATGCTTGTGTACCTTTGAAGGAGCCTGTAGGTTTCTATTTTCTTCCTTGTGCCATTTTCAAGGTATCCGTGAACGCGAACGAAAACAGGAAAAGGAACGAAGAAATCCTTTTTGTCTTGTACCGTGTATTTTTGTTGTTACAGATTAAACTTTCCACGTCTGCAGGTTTATTAAAAATGATGCTCATTAATCGGAGTGTGATTCACTGGTTTGATTTGATCATCGGAAAACGAGGTTATTTG